GAGGGAGGGAGGGAGGGAGGGGAGGGATAAAGGTAAATATATGATAGATAGATGGATAGATAGACAGACATAGAGATAGGCAGGGAGACAGTCACATAGATGATGTGACTGTGCTGGGATTGAACTCAAGGTCCTCTGTATGTGCTCCACAACTGGGCCATACCTCCAGCCCCTAATTTAGATATGATCAACATCCAGTCTTATTCACAAAGTCTAACTTCTCATGTATCTGTTCTTTTCAAGCTTTTCTGATTATTGGGGATTTACAAGAAATATTCTTAAATATTTTTTCAGAGCCTGAGCCCCTAATATCTGTATTATTATGTTTTGGGTATTGCCAGGGCAAAGAGGGATTTTTGGCAGCTTCCTAGGTGATTCTTAATGTAGAGTTAGGGTGACGAGTCAGTTCCCTGGGCTGTGTTAATATACCAGTGGTCCTAGAGCATGATGGCTGTGTCAAAACTGTCAGCGTCACCAAGAAATGTGTTAGCTATGCATACCCTAGGCCTCCTCCTAGGCTAACCCAATGAAAGTATCTGGTGTAAGCCTGGAAGTCTAGAGTCCACGAAGACCTCTAGGTGTGGAGGTTGGAGAATGCTACCCTGGATCACATTGATGTTGATGTGACATCTTGCCATATATCTGAGGCTCTTTGTAAAACATAAGAAAAGTCAGATTACTCAGACTCTTAATGGTCATAACATCTTGTTTTTTAAGGTAGCAAGGAGGTATTGCTTACTAAGCATTAATACTTTCGACATATTTTAATAAATGGTGATTCTAGAGAATGATATCTGCATGTGGAGTAACTCCCTGCTCTTGTTTTTTTCTCATGTTTGGCACTGGATTCTGGGTATGGAAGACAGCTTCATACATGCTAAGTCCATGCTATAAACATGCTATACTGTTGGATCACACACCTTCCCCTTTCATCTGTGTTCTTTCTTGCAGTGTCCTTACTGGCTGAGAGCACAGGGTTTACAGACAGCGTACAAACATAGCAGATGAGTACAAGGCAGTTTTAGACTCATGCTTACCATGCCTGAAACTCTAGGCTCAATTGAACAATTTTTGAAAAGCATATACTGTTCAAGACTGAAATACTTTTCAGCCCTGAAAGAACTTTTAAAAAGCATACACTGTTCAAAACATCATAGCTATTACATAATGAAGCAGATATTTCCATAGAGTCTTGTGGTTTGAAGAGAAATAAATCCAGGCTCATATAGAGTATTCAGGAACTCATCAACCACTAAAAGCTACATCTTCCCATTTTCTGGGTCAGAAGACCATGCTTTATTTTTTCTTATTAAAATCCTCCAGCCCATGGATCATCTTTTAAACACCCACACCTAGTACCATACTAGGGACAATGCTTAAGGACAAATGAAATACAAAGTCACATGTAGAGGTTGAGGGTGTGGCTCAGTGACCCAGCATGGACTATTAACATGGACAAGTCCCTGGATTCAGTTTCTTTTCCCACTGCCAGGGACAGCAATAAAATACGTAAAGGCATTTATTAGGGCACTTGGCTCAAATACATCTTCATCCCGTTGACTGACAATTGCAAAAAATTAAGGATTGAAACCACCTCAAATGTTTGATTTGTTTTAGCAGCCATTGGCTAAAATCTCTATAATCTCAGGATTGCAGAGTATATAAAATTCAAATTGCTAGAATTGCTAGTAATTTTTGCTAAATTTGGATCTCTCTTGACTTGACATGAAGATAAATGTTTCGGGATGCATGAACAAATACAGGCTAAGCTGATGTAAGTAGTAGACTCTCAAGGTGAAAAGCAGTACCATTTACCAGTAAATATTTCCAGAGCCTTCATGATCCTGTCAGTGTGCTGGCCAGAATTTCACTTCTCAACATTTTCTGGAAATTCTATTGGTCTAGGTGAATTCTTCCTATACAAGCCCCTTTCTTTACGATGGCATTGACTTCTGAGAGTAGCAGTGAGGATTAGGCTACTCTTCAGTGCTCTTTGTTGAGACAATATGTCAGAGGAAATGAATATTAGTAGTTGTTTATAGATTATTACTTTCACATAAACAGAATAGTTACTTACTGAGCCGGCGGTGGCACAGACCCACTAGTGTTCTGGGTGTGATTAGCCTTTAGGATGCCGGCCGTTACCCAGAGCTCAGAGGAGCAAGGCACAGGATGATGCTTGGCAAGGATGCAGAAGGCTGGATTTTCCTCCACATTGGAGAGCATGAGTTTCAAGGATTTTGAGCAGGAGAGAGAGATGTCACTGTCCCGATTAGCACTCTGGTCTTGCCCACCTGGCTGTGCTTGGAGCTGGCAGCTGGGCCACACTCGGTAAGGCTACCCTGCTAGCTGCATCACCAGGCTTCACACTGTGCCTCTCACTTAGCCCCAAAAAGGCAGTGAGGCAACTAAAGGGATTAAATTGTGAAAGTATAATGTAATAATTAGGGCGGTAATTGTAAGGAAGATTGGAACAGACCCACCTTTTTTTGGCCAAACAGTGGTAAGTGACTGAACTCCAAAGATGTTGAAAGATCTCAGGCACATTACAGCGGCACATGTCCATGTTCCTGTGAGGAAGGGGCAGAGTATGGCTCTGTGGACTCAGGGCAACATCGAAGCAAATTATCATTGACAGGTAGTACTATTCCCCTCCCCTCCCTGTGAACTCTTCAGGGAAGGAGCAGAGATTACATAACTCCCCTTGAGAACCAGGCCTGCTTACTTCTGTCTCACAGCCCCGATGGCCAGGACATTATGTAAGTGTGACTTCTGCCCCACCAGGGTCTGGTTCTGGTCTCTGTGACTTCCTGAGGGACATGTGTATCCAAAACCTAATCTCTGTGCAGTGCCTCTTAAGAGTCTTGTTTCCTATGACGATTTGGTGGATTTAGTTGATTACTGATGGGTAAGAGATGTAAGATTTCAGAGGATGGACAGGAAAACACATCCTAATTTTATGGAATAAAATGTAGCCCAGATCTAAAACTGAAAATAAAACCAATTTTAATCTTTAAAGTAAAAACATGTTTTTAAAAAGTTGAACCAAAACAAAAAAAACCAATAAACTACCCCCACAACCCCCCCAAAGGTCATGGTGTTATATCCTGCCTCCAACATTTGGGAACACTTAGAGAGGCACTGTAAACGTGATGCAGGCCTGGTCTATGTACTACGAACCCACCTTAAAGAAAAAGATAAAAGGGAAAGAAAGGGGGGATCGAATAAGTCATAAAGTTAGAACTAAACTAAAACTATTGAGAATTATCTTTTCCAAAGCTGACCGTGGAACCTCACATTTGAAAAGGTAATTAATTACGGATTTCACTGAATGTCTAGTACAAAGGCATATTCTGTTTATTAATTGTTATCGAGGAACTACTGGAAAGGTGAGAAGAGCAGGATTCAAGGCTTTGGCTTTGAGGGCATTTTACTTAGTTTGAGGGGAGCTAAGGATTCAACCCCAGGCCTTATATGTGCTAAGCCTGCAGTCTCCACTTGGCTACACCCCAGCCATTAAGATATGTGAAAAATACTTGCACAGACTTTGACACTTCTGTCAAACATAACTCTGACAACTGCTAGGATTGCAAAGGCTGCTGTGCTTCCATTGTGTGTTAGTAATTTGGGAGGTAGGAGGCTATTACTCTCCCTCACCCCCAATTCTACTTTTGGCTCTTGTAATTCATATATAAATAGGAAAGGTTTTATTTAATTTTTGTTGTTGTTGATGTTGGTTTTCCTTTTGCCAGTAATTTTCTCTGGATTTTTTTTTTTTTTTTTTGCAGGAGGGATAGGGGAAAGGAAAACATACACAAAACAAGTCAATACATGTTCCATTACTTAATTTAACAGAAAATGCTAAGCTGTTAAAGCTTTTATTCCAATGTTAGAATGAAGAGAATAGGTTATATATGCAAAGCCACCCCAAGTGCTTATTGGAATACTAGAGATAAAGTCCCATGCTATTTCAAAACCTAAATCATATGCTTGAGTGTATAGGATTT